CCCTATCCCAATGCTCATTCCCAGTGCATCCTGTAGGACCCCAGTCCCAGATTTTCCCCAGTGTCACCTGCAAGAAGCCATGGCACAGGCACATGTCCTGCTGGGACCACAGCCCACTTGCTCAGCAGGAAGCTCCTCCACCCCAAAACAACACACTCAACACATCCTGATGCTCAACACACTCAACCCATCCTGAACCTTCACCACCCGGCACTTGCCCCAGCATCTCCAGACAGCTGTGGATGCCCTGCTCCAAATGCAGTGGGATTTGAAGGACATGCAGGAGCCTGGGTTCCCATCCCTGTTACACTGCACTAACAGGGTTTGTGAGGGCAGAGCTCCCATTCTGGCACATCCGTCAGGAAACACCTTCTGACACTTTTCTTGTGTTCACTAGCATGGGGACACACTACAGCCCCTCAGCTGGGCAGCGAGGCCATTCCCAGGCAGGAAGGTGACATTAAACACAGTGTCACCACAATGCCAGGCACTGCTGGGTGCACAGCAGAGCTGTGTCACCCTGGCCTTGCTCAGGGTTGAGGACACCCCACAGGGAGAGGGCTTGGGGCATGAATCTCCTGCCAAAAAGCTCTTGGGGACACCTCCACCCAGGACATGAGTGTCAGTCCCACCTCACATACCCCACACCACTGAGCCAAGATCCCCTCATCCCCCGGGACCCACACATGGACCCACCAACCTGGCTACCTCAAGGTCCCAAAGAGGCAGGTGAGACTTGCCAGCAAATGATGATCCACTGAGATCTCTGGTTTCACATCTGCCAAGCAAGGCACGGCCAACAACCCTCCCACTCAGGCTGTGAGGAGCGGGGCAGCTTCTCCCCGCTGGAGGCTGAGGATTAGTTACCGACAGCCCAGAGACTGAATGTTCCCAAAAAACATCCTTGCCCAACATAAATCCCTCCGACCGACTCAAAAATGCACAGTCAGGTTATTTATCGCTAGGGGAAAGCAAAGTCTTATCGGGAGGGGAGCCGCACGCCGGGACCTGTGGGGTCCCTGCAGGGAGAGAAGGGACCTTCGGCCTGAAGTCGCTCTGAAAGTCAAAACTCTGTCCAGTTTCTATGCAACAAGTGGCTCCCGACAGGGAAAACACCCCTAAGCGCTGCCAAGGTAGTTGGCGAAGGGATGGGGGAGATGATGGATCAGGAAGGGGGTCACGGGCGGTGCAATGGGGGTGTCCCCACCGGCGATGCTCGGAGGAAGCGGGATGTCGCGGCAAAGCCCTGGGGAAGACGATCAGATCTGTCGGGGTGGGGATGCCCCAGGCATGGTCCAGCATCCCGCAGCGAACCACCAGCCCCCTGACACATCCCGCTGGTCCATGTCCCCCGCTGCCCCCAGCCCCTGTGTGCCGCAGCCACCTCCCCGCCCCGCCGGCAGACAGAGCTGCCATTGATGCTCGGAGCCGCCTCACCTGCTCCCGCCGTGCCGAAGGGGCTCCAACAATGGGCTGCCTGTGTGCCCTGGCCGGGGCAGAGCCAGCAGCCCCGCGCCTGAAATATAAGCAGCCGAGGCGGCATTTACCGCCCCGGCCCCGCTCCCCCGGGGGAAAAGCGCCGGCATTCCCGACCGCAGCGGCGGGAACACCCCAGCCCCGCCGCACACGTGAGTGGGACGCGGCCCCGCGGCGCCCGGGGCGGTTTCTGCCGTCACCCCCCGCGCACCCCCGGGGTGATGCCGGGTGCCGGGTGCATGGATGGGGGATGCTTCAGTGGGTGTCCCCCCTGTCAGGGCAGGTGTCCTTCCATTGGGGCCACCAAACCGGTGATGCTCCCGTGACCTTTGGGTCTGACATTTGTTCGGGGTCTCTGCATCACCGTGGAGCAAACCTGTCCCCGTGTCACCACGGAGTTCTTGCAGCCACCACACTTTGTCCCCATCCCGAGGGACTTGGATACTCCTCATCCCTCCCCAGCTGTGTGGAAGTGCAGAGGGACTGCACTGGGGAGGGAGATGCAGCGGTTGGGACGGGGGTGCTCTCCGGAATCCCCCAGGGACGCTGGTCCTGCTCAGCTCCTCAGTAAACACCAGTGAGCTGGTTTGCTCACCACAAGAATGTGTCCTGCCGGGGGAGGCCAGCACCCCGAAACCCCGGTGATTTGCCCCTTCCTCTGTCGTGAGTCAGGCGGCGGCAGCTGCCCCAGGCCGGCACAACACTGGGCACAGCCTGTACTTTGGGCAATTTGGGATGACAAAGTGTGGACGCTGCGTGTGGGGCTCTGATTGCAGGGTCGGGGGCTGTGGTGTTTCACTGCCCTGTCCCACCCCAGCTCTGCCCCAGTAGCTCCTATCCCATACACCTGCCTCGAGTATCCTACTCTTCCCCTGCCCCACAGCTCTACCTAGAATATCTTCCCTGTCCCATATCCCTATCCAGAGGTATCCTTCTCTCCTACCTCCCACTCCTGTGTGGGTTATCTTCCCTGCCCCATGCCCTGCTATTGAGTATTCTCATTGTTCCACAGACCTGGGGGTATAGCCCTGCCCCTATTTCTGTGCCCCACAACCCTGTCTGGGGTGCCAACCCCCCTTCCGTATATCCCAGCCCTGTCTGGGGTATAACCCTGCCCCAAAGCCCTGCTTGGGGCATCCCCACACCCTACCACCCTGCCTGGGGTCCCCTCCTGGCCCAGAGCCCTGCCAGGGGAACCCCTGCCCACAGCCTCATGTGCACTGGGGCAGGGTGTGTATGTGTGCAGCTGTACCACTGCCTGTTCACCTCTGCTTCTGTGTCAGTGTCTGTCTGTGTGAGTCTGAGTCTGTCTGTGAGTCTGTGTGTGTGTGTCTGAATCTACGTGTCTGTGAGTCTGTGTGTGTCTGTGAATCTGTTGGTGAGTCTCTGTGTGTATCTGTCAGTCAATATGTCTGTCTGTCTGTCTCCATGTGTCTGTGTGTCCGAGTCTGTCGCTGTGTGTCTGTGTGTCTACGTGTCCATGTGTTTCTGAGCGCAGCTGCATGCCGGGGTGCTGCTGCCAGCAGAGGGTGTGTGTGTATGTGTGTGTGTGCCTGCACCTGTGTGTTTGTGGTGTCTGTGTGTGTGTGCCTGCACCTGTGTGTTTGTGGTGTGTGTGTGTGTGTGTGTGTGTGTGTGCCTGCACCTGTGTGTTTGTGGTGTGTGTGTGTGTGTGTGTGTGTGTGTGTGTGTGTGTGTGTGTGTGTGTGCCTGTACCTGTCTGTGTGTCTGTGTACCTGTTCCTGTCTGTGTGTCAGTCTGTGTGTGTTCAGCCACGCACGTGTGCACTCCTGCACCCCGGGGCTGTGGGCCCTCCCCTGCCTGCACAGGTGGGGGCCCTCGGCAGCCCGCCCCCCCCTCTGCTGGCCGCTGGCAGCCCGGCGGGCCAGCCCTGTGACAGCACTGCACCATGGACACCCAGCCCGAGGTGCCCCCGAGGACCGGGACCTCCAGCAAGGGCACAGAACCCTGGGGGCTGCTTGCACGGGCTGGGCCTGCCCTGGGTACCCCCAGCTGGCTGTGGGGATTTTTGGTGTCCTCGGGGGGGTGATCACAGTACAGGGGGGTGCCAGAAGCTCACCCAGCCAAGTACAGGATATTTTTGGGATGCCGTGGGTTGGCAGAGGCTAGATATGGGGGTATTGGGGTGTCACAGTGTGGTGGAGGTCAGACATGGGGTGCTGCAGGGGGCTGGAGGTCAAGCTGGGTGGATATGGGGTGCTGGGGTGACATGGGGTGACAACAGCTGACCCAGATATATATTGGATATCAGGGTGCTGTGAGGTGACCCCGTTGGCTATGGGGGTTCAGGGTGCTGCAGGGCAATAGGTGACCCACCAGATACTGGGTATCAGAGCACTGTGTGGCACCCAAATACAGCCCCTCTGGCTATGGGGTGTTGGGATACTCTGGGGGCACCCAACTCCAAGCCCTCTGGCTGTGGGATGGGATGTCAGGATACTGTGGGGTACAGCCAGGCAGCTGCAGGGTTCCCCCCCATCCCAACTGCACGGCGCCAGCTGCCAGCATCCCACCGTGCTCTTGAGTAGTTAATAAGTTGTAGAGGAGATTTTTGGAGCAGGCAGGGGAACAGGTAGGAGCAAGCCTGTGTCCAGCAACCACATTCCTGGGGGAGGGGGACTGGAAGCACTGGCACTACCCCCAGCATGCAAGGCTGGGGGGGGGGGAAACATGCACCCCACAGCCATGGGGCTGTTGCTGCCAGGTCTGAAGGGATTGCTCATGCCTTGGGATATTTTTCCAGTTGCCGGGTGCCAGCTCAGGTTGTCAGGGTGATGCTGCTAGGGTGGTTACGTGCATTATCTGCTTCCTTCAAGGTCACAAGACTTGTGCCGGATGAGTAAAGATATTTATCAGTCAGTCAGAGGATCTCTGACTGTGCTCCTGGCCCAGCAGGGTGGGAACAGGAGGGGCCAGGCTGAAGGGGTTCCTGCTGGGCCAGGAGCGCCCACAGGTCCCCTGGAATGGTGACATAAACCTCACAGCATGGCGGAGGGGTTGCACTTTGCACGGTGGTGCAAAGGTGCCCAACGCTCATCGAACCCCATTAAACGTGAGCACTGGCAACACTACAGAAATCAACAAACCCTGACCAGCCACATTTCCTCCACGGGGGAAAGGTGAACCCTTGGGATTTCCAGGTTCACAGAAGGGGTTTGGTGGGAATGAGCATGGTGGTAGTGCTTCCTGATACCCATCGGCCGAAACCAGGCAATGGCTGTGGCAGGTGGCGTTTCTCCTCCTCCCGCCCTTCTCTGGTTACCCAGCGCCATCTCTGCAAACAAAGGGGAGGGTGTGGGACACAGGTGACGGTGACGGAGGAGCAGAGAGGAGCGTCCAGCAGCCAGCACTGAAACCCCACCCCGGGGCCAGCCCATATAAATAGCACTGCGCACAGGTGTAAGCCGATCCCCCAGCTGCGAGCGGCGGCGGGTGGTGGCAACCGTCTCGGTCCGTGGGTTCTTCTCCGCCATCGCCTGGAGCGCGTCACTGAACCGTCCACCATGTCGATGGGGCTGGAGATCGGCGGTGTGGCCTTGTCTGTGCTGGGTTGGTTGTGCAGCATCATCTGCTGCGCGCTGCCCATGTGGAAGGTGTCGGCCTTCATCGGCAACAACATCGTGACGGCCCAGATCATCTGGGAAGGGCTGTGGATGAACTGCGTGGTGCAGAGCACGGGGCAGATGCAGTGCAAGGTCTACGACTCCATGCTGGCCCTCCCTCAGGACCTGCAAGCCGCCCGCGCCCTGCTGGTGGTGGCCATCATCTTGGCCGTCCTGGGCTTAATGGTGGCCATCGTGGGCGCCCAGTGCACCCGCTGCGTGGAGGACGAGAGCACCAAAGCCAAGATCACCATTGTCTCCGGCGTCATCTTCCTCCTCTCTGGTGTCTTGACCCTCATCCCTGTCTGCTGGTCGGCCAACACCATCATCCGGGATTTCTACAACCCGCTGGTGATCGAAGCACAGAAACGGGAGCTGGGCACCTCGCTCTACGTGGGCTGGGCGGCCTCTGCACTCCTGCTGCTGGGAGGGGGCCTGCTCTGCTGCTCCTGCCCCCCCAAAGACGACAGGTACCCCACAAGCAAGGTGGCCTACTCCGCCCCACGCTCCGCCGTCACCAGCTACGACAAGAGGAACTATGTCTGAGCTCCCCCGGGGTCCCCCGGCCCCCCTCGATATCCCCCACCCCACCCACCCACCCTGGGACCCTCATTGCCCTCCGTGGGGCCCGGGGCCGGCAGCGCCGGGGCGGGGGGGGGCGCGAAGGAGGGGACGGGGACGGCCGCGGGGTCAGGGCCGGGCTGTGTAAATAGAGACAGTTTCGGTTAAACACGAGGCAGTTTCGGGTCGGCGGGAGAAGCGGCACTCGGCGAGGTCCTGCCATGCCGATGGGGCGGGATGAGGACGGGATGGGGACGGGGCCCCCTGCTGTGTCCCCCCATCGCTGCTGGCCCGGCACCGTCTGTCCCTGTTACGCGTGGTCTGTACCGGTTACATTTGTCAATAAACGTGTCCTGTTTTGGTACCCGAGTGTCCTTGAGATGTGCGGCACGATCGAGGTGGGCACGGGGAGGGGGAACACGGCGGTCCAGCCCCTCAAGGCACCCCCTACACACCCCGCTACGGCGGCACCGAGTGGCACCGGGCTGTGGGCAGAGGGCTCAGCCGCAGTGCGCCGGGCGTCCCTGCTCGGGGTGGAGACCCGTTGTCTCCCTGCATTCCAGGGGCAGCTCTCCGGGAACGGTCGGGGCGGGAAGCAGCGCAGGAGCCGCTGGATGCCGCAGGGACACTCCCTGCCCGCAGTCCAAAGTCTGGGGCCGCCGGGGGGGCCGCGAGGCGCTTCCCTCGCCCGGGAGCCGCGCTGGGGCGAGGCCGCCCTGTTCGGCCGCTCCCTCCCGCCCGCCGCCACGCTCCAGCGGCCAGGGACAAAGGGGCAGGAGCCGCCGCAGGAGCGCGGGGCCGGTCCTGGGGAAAGCGAGGCCGGCGGTGGTGAGTGCGGGGCCGAGCCGGCCGGTCCCGCTGTGCCTACGGGCGACAGCGGGCGGAAGGGCCGTGCGGAACCCCCGCCGCCCGCAGGGAGCCGCCCCTCCCGGCTCACTTTCCCCGAGCCCCAACACCCCTGCCCGCTGCCCGCTCCGGGGCGGCCCCGCCGTGACCCTCCCCGTGCGCGCGCTGCCGCCGTCCTGCCGCGGGGGGGCGCCCGCCGCCAGCGGGGCGGGGCGACTCGAGCACATCGCGTCACGGCCCGCGCGCCACCGCCGCAGCCGCCATGATGCTCCGCCGGCTGCTCGGCGCCCCCGCCCCGCCGCCCCTCCCGCCGCCCGTCGCTGCTGCCGCCCGCTCCGTGGCCACGTAAGGGCCCGGCCGCGCGCGGGGCGGGACGGGGGCGGCGGGAGCGGTCCCGGGAAGGGTCCCCAGGGGGGATCCCGCGAGCAGGGGCGTGGCCGCCACACGGGAGCTGGCCGCGCCTCCCTCAAACCACGCCCCTTGCACCGAGGTGCCCTACACGGCTGGTGGACGAGTTTGGCCACGCCCCCTGTGGCCACGCCTCCCTCCCTGCCTGCCCTTGGCCCAGCCCTGGCCGCGCTCTCAGAGTCCCAGTGGGCTAGGCTGGAAGAGGGCCCAGAGGGTCCCTGGTGGCACCTCCCTGCTCAGGCAGGGCCATCCCAGAGCACAGGGCACAGCATTGTGTGCACAGGGCTCTGCAGGATCCCCGCTGAGGGAGACTCCAGCCCCTCCCTGGGCAGCCTGCTCAGGGCTGGGCACTGCCCAGGGCAGAAGTTGTGCCTCCTGGACAGGGGCAGTTCTGGGCTCAGGCCCTGCCCGTGGCTCTGGTGCCACTGCTGGGCCTGGAGCCGAGCCCGGGCCCTGCTCTGCCCCTCCCTGCACACAGGGACACCCAGGGCTGAAGGCCCCTCTCAGCTGGGGCTCCTCTCCAGGCTGAGCAGCCCCAGCTCCCTCAGCCTTTCCTGGGCACAGAGATGCTCCAGGCCCTCCTCATCCTCACAGCCTGAGCTGGCCCCGCTCCAGGAGCTCCATGTCTCCCATTTCCTGAGGAGCCCAGGGCTGGACACAACACTCCAAATGTGCCTCATCAGGGTTGGACAGAAGGGCAAGGCTCACTTCCCCCCTGCACCTCTGGCCTTACCCCATTCCTGTCTCCCTGCAGTGCAGTGCCCCTGACCCACGTGGAAGTGGAAGGTCGCAGGGATCGGCCACCCCTCGTCCTGCTCCACGGGCTCTTTGGTAGCCACAGCAACTTCCAGACGGTCGCCAAGACACTGGCGCGCCGTGGTAGCGGCAAGGTGAGACCCAGGACGTGGGGGGAGGCGCAGCATCAGGGAGAGGTCTGGAGTCATGTTGGGCAGTGCCTGGGGTGACACGCTGCTCCTGCCCAGGCAGGTGCTGACAGTGGACGCCCGGAACCACGGCAGCAGCCCCCACAGCCCCGTGATGACGTATGAAGCGATGAGCCTGGACGTGCAGCACCTCCTGAGCCGCCTGGGCATCACCAAGTGCATCCTCGTGGGACACAGCATGGGGGGCAAGACAGCCATGACTCTGGCCTTGCAGCGGGTCAGCAGGCACGGGGCTGGGAGTGGGGTCACAGGCTCAGGAAGTTCCAGGGGGGCTGTAGGAAGGGGATAGAACCTTCTGAGACTGTTCAGCGGGGCCAGCTTTGCCCCCAGCTCCACAGGGACTTGTCTATATCGGGGTGGGTGGTGTAAGCCAGGCTGCAGGAGCAGGAGCAGATCTATGTCCACCAGCTCATGCTCTGCCCTGTCCCTCCAGCACCGATTGTGAGGGAGCTTGGAGATCTGTGCTGAGGACGACTCTGGGAAGGGCACATGGAGGTCTCTACTGAGACAGGAGGGAGCAAAGAGCCTCCAGGGAATCTGACTGGGAGTGGAGCCCTGTGCCCACTCTCACTGGGGAGATCTTGGAAGATCCTGACATCTGATCTACCCTGCTTGTGTCTCCAGCCAGACCTGGTGGAGCGCCTCATCTCCGTAGACATTGGTCCTGGCTCAACCGCCCCCGTGTCCGAATTCTCTGCCTACATCTCGGCCATGAAGGAGGTGAAGGTCCCAGCAGGGCTGTCCCGCTCAGCAGCACGCCAGCTGGCAGATGACCAGCTGCAGCCCGTGGTCAAGGTAGGAAATCCCGTGAGAGATGGGGAGGATGGAGGGTGCCAGGACATCCTGTTTTGTTGCTCTTACTGAAGAGTGCATGATCCCCTTCCATGGCAGCTCCCACAGCTGAGACAGTTCCTCCTCACCAACCTGGTGGAGGTGAAGGGCTGCTACGTGTGGCGGGTGAACCTGGAGGCTATTTCCCGGCACCTGGCAGATATCATGAACTTCCCTGTGTTCCAAAAGCCATATCCTGGTCCTGCACTTTTCTTGGGAGGGTCCGACTCGCCCTATATCAGGTGAGACTGGATAGAAGTGGTTCCAGGTCTGTGGTTTGACCTTTTGTGCTCTTTGCAGCTGCCAAGAGTGGGAGGAGCCCCTGGGATGAGGAAGGTCCTGAGCAAGGGCTGTTCCTCCAGCAGCCAGTGACACCGACACACTGGAGCGAGGGGGAACCTGGGGCCCCCCTGGGCTTTCCCAGCAGGAAAGGAGTCATATCTGGGATCATCCTCTGCTTGGGGAGGGTGAGGGAAGACACCAGGAGGGACCTCTTATCATGGCATGTTCCCTTGTCCTGCAGCTCCAGAGACTACCCAGAGATCCAACGTCTCTTCCCCAAGGCAGAGATCCAGTACATTAAAGGTGCAGGCCACATAGTCCATCAGGATAAATTTGAAGAATTCATCACTGCTGTCCTCAATTTCCTGCCACAGCTGTAGCACTGGGGACCAGGGTTTGTGCAAGGACCATGTGGGTCCTGAGGAGCTCTGGACAGTGATGCAGGACTCGGGCTCTGAGAATGGGCTCAGCTGGGACTGGCTGCCCTCACTGCAGTCTGATCCTGCCTGCAAGACCTTCTCCCATCCTGATTCTCCTGCAGCCAGAGCAGAGAGGCACCTGCATCCTGTGAGATCTCCTGCCACCTCTCAGGGAGATGGGGTGCCACTGGCTCAGGACACTGTCCTGGCTGCACAGGGGTGCCAGGCACACGGAGGGGGCAGGAGAGCCCTCTTGTTTTCCTGCTGCCAGACCCTTCCATGGATCTGGCTGTGACTTTGCAGAATGTGCAATAAAGCTGAATCCATGCCAAGGCAGAACAGGGGTTGGATGTGACCATGGTGGGCAGGGCATGTGTGGGGGGCAGAGGAGGGGGTTCTCAGTTGGCAGCAGGGAAGCTGGTGGGAGTTGACAGCTAGACTGGGCCCTAATGTGACAAGCTGTGGGAGCAGTGCATGTGAGACACAGGTTTGAGGATCTTTCTTGGTTTCCAGTGGAAATTGCAATTTTGCTCTATGCCTGGGGGAGTGTGAGGATTGGGGAGTGAGGGAATCTGCCTCCTGAGCAAGGAGCATGTTTGCCCAGGCTGTCCCAAAGGCAGGGTGGCTTCATCCCTTAGCTCCCAACAATTTCTCCCCTCCCACCTGCTGTGCATCCCCCTGAGGCAGCATAACACCCACCCACCACAGGCTGGAGGCAGAGGAGCAGGGTGTCTGCTGCAAAAATCCCTTTATTGGACAACTGGTAAAGCCAGGGACAGGGCAGAAGTGACCATGGGGGTGACAAATCATCTCTGTAACAACTGGGGACACACTGTGTGTGTGGATAGTAGAGAGACTGCATCTCTGCTTTTGCTGCTCCAGAGCCAGGTGTCTGCTGCTCCCTGGGATGAGTCTGCTTAATTTGGGGTTGTTTGGAGGCCCCAAAAGGGAGGGAGGGCAGAAAACTGAGGATGCTTTATTCCAGGTCTGGCTGTAGTTGCCTAGCAGAGCGGACACCAGGGACTGCTTTGGAGATTTGCTGTGTTTCTGCAGAGCTGTCCCTCTCCCTCTCCCTCTCCCTCTCCCTCTCCCTCTCCCTCTCCCTCTCCTCTCCTCTCCGGAGCTGGGCTGCATTGGCCTTGAGTTTTCTACTCTATCAACCTCAATTCAAACACTTTTGCTCTCTGTGTATTACTTTTTTCCTGTGAAGAATATCAGACCAATAAGCTCCAGAGTCACAAGCTACTGAAATGAA